TGAATGGGCGTTCCATATACGGTTCTTGGACCAGAGGACCATCGCTACTTCCGTCTGGTTCCAGTTCGGTAAATACGGTCAAGGTGGGCCCGCGTCCAGCGTACAGAGAGTGCAAAGGACTGCTACTCGAGCGGTCGATCGCAAATCTGCGCAGATACGATCGGTAAGGGATCGAGCGTGGCGGAGGTGGCGGCTCGGCTTGCGCTGGATTTCCGTGTTGAACTGAACCATCGAACCAGTCGCCGTCTTGTTCGCCCATATCGGAGTCGTATTCGTCGTCGGACACGCTGCGTAGGGAAAACATTCAGTCTTAAATGAGTGACTCCGGTACGAAATAACTGACTCACTCAGAGTCGGGATCTACATCAAGCGAGATTTGAGATACAGCTGCCTCCGAGGCGGGCTCCTTGGAACAGGCCGGTCTTCGACTGACGCGATGGTCCGGAGACAATTCAAACGGCGGAGAGAAGATCGGGAGGAAGGGCAGCCTTTTCCCGGGTTCCTGCGCTCGGGTGGGCTTCCGTCGTGGGATATTGGAAGCGGCAGCGGCATCCGTTTCGTTCTCCCACAGGAATGCACAGCGCTTTGTAATCTCATCTTGCGCCTTGATGTAATCCATCTGCAGCTTTTGTGCAATTTCCCATTGCGGAGTTTGGGAGTACAGACAGATCGACAGAGCGGTAGTGCCTTTGAAGACTTCCACCCAAATGCTCTCCTCCGATGGCCCAGCGTCCGTGTTCTCGGTCGTTACGGCTAAGCATCTGAGAAGAATCTCAGGAATCTCAACAAAGATACGCTCCGTCCATTTGGGGTTCACAAGATTGTCCAGTTGAAGGCGGATACCATGGGCAAGTTGGAGGGTAGTGACGCTTCCAAGGCCCCATATCGACACATGTAGGCTTTGAATTGTTGCCAGGACAGTCGTTATGTCGGGTGCGATCGCAGCCATCGTGAGCACGTTGTTAACATTGGCATAATGAAATCCAAAGCACCGGAGAGCCCTTTGGACGGCTGGCAGTGCGGATGGTTGGAGTTCTCCGATGATTGGCCCAACTGTAACGCGCCAGTCGGCGGCGTACACAGCTCCTTTCGGTGGCAAGCCAAACAAGCGGTGACCTCGAATTGCGAAGTCTGCAAAAGCCACTGTTAGATGAGGTGCAACCAATAAATATTCGCACCATGCCGACCTTGAACGCATATAAAGTTTTTCTTGATGTCGGCTTGCGGGTGCGCTACCGAATTTTGAACGGATCCGCGAGTCCACCGGATAGGTTGTAGAATCACGTGCACATCTATCACTGAGTCAGCCTGTGCAGTTCTCATCGGTAGAGCGAACCCTTCAATCTTACCATGATAAAATTCATTGCTCCGACTTTCCGCTTGAATTTCGCCGATGTTCAAAATTGTTACATCCTGCAAATCGTAAAGACTCTCCGGTAGCATTGCAATGGCACTTTGCACGGACACTAAAATGATGACTTCAAAGGAATTTCCGACTTCCTGAGATACTACTAATCAGTCTCCTGTTGAGATGAATGAAACGTTGCCCGCACTTTACCTTCGTAGCTTCCTGCTTACGCCATGCTGTTTCCGTCTTGAGCGGGTCAGCCATCCGACTGCGATATTCGTCTGACGTTATGAAACTATTGTGTTCCCCAAGGTAATTCTCCTTAAAAAAGATGAGATGCGATACCAAGTACCCGTAGATAACTAAACTGACGGAAGATGCCTGTTCCAGCATTAATACGAGCAAAACCGTGTGCAAAACAAACGATGGCGTCACCTCCAACGTAATCGCCAAACAATCGATGAGACCCGGCGCAACTGCGCGGTGGTATCTATAGGTCCCAGCAATGATGAGATGCCCAGCAGTGCCCACTTCACGAGCCTTGTCTGTCATGAACGAGCCGATAGTATGAGACTTTGGGAAGCTCATGGTTACGCGGGTTTTTTTGGACTAAGCCGACAAAGTGAGCGAACGCATCTGAAAGAATGTCTGACAGAAATCACCTACCTCGATTTGAAAGCCAACGATTGTGCTCTCGGCCTCGAACATCATGAATGGAAGGTCAAAGTCCAAGCGTAATCGTGGCCCGCTCAGGATCAAGTAAGCTTTGAGAGCAATTAGCCGACCGTAGTTTTGTGAAAGATGCCGCGGTTCTCTTACTGTTATCGGCGAGGTCATTCGGCGAATTTATCACATTGTTTTGATTGACGCAAAAGTGCAGATCGAAATCCGTCATGGCGAGCTTGATTTTGTAAGTCATTGGCACGAAAAACTCCTGGGACGTGGGCGGGCCGGTGGACCAGTCCTTGACCAAGTCTGTCAACAGAGTGACATGATCTCGTAGGAGGAACATTTGCATGGAACTCATGGTGATATTGAACAACCAGACACGCCCGGCGTTCCATTGCAAAGGGCTGTGAAGTTGACATTCGACCTGGGAATTCATAAAACCCTCCGTTTAGCTTTGATGTTTGATTGTTCACTAACGGACACGTACTTTGAGCGATTGAGTGACCAGGATCGGAGCGTAGTTCAGACTGGATATGACAGAAACGTTGTCCAACGCAACGTGAACCAGGGTAATGTACCCGGCTTCGCCCATGATGAACGGGACGGTGATATCGATTGCACCATTACTGGATGTCTTCAGATCAATCCAGGCATAGGGCCGTCCAGTAGATCCGACCTTTATGTTTGCATTTTCGTCATCACCCAACGCATCGTCATAGTGGCGCCAATCCTAACAGAACTTATCAGCGAGAAGGCTAAAGAAAGCTTAAACCAAACCAACCTTGGATTGTTCTCGGAAAGGAACCCGGAAAGAGGTCGATCCCTGGAACTTTAGAAGGACCTTGAGCGCGAGAAATGTCCGAATAGCTCCTGGGCTAAGTTTCTCCGTTTTGCTGGAATTCCGGTATGCTACCGGGAAGAAGAACTTTTGTAACATCCCCCTACATCCACAAAATGTTAGGATTCACATGGTCAAACCACCCAACAACTTCGCCTCCAGCCATACCGTTGGCGGTCCGTCCAGGGACCGTAATGCATGGCACTGTCGGTCACGGTGACGTCTGGTCAGGAAGACTTCAACATTGCGCATTATGAACCGCTTTGCTTTGATTGTCCTACCAGTGCCCCATTCCGGCGGGAGATCGCCGTTGCCAATACCGGCGTCATCCTCTGGCATGTCTCCACTCAAGCTCGATTTTGCGTCTTTCTTCGGTGCCGGACCTACAAAGGTGAGGGGGTGAGACAGTGCGTAACAATAAAAGCCAAACAAGAATTACCTGGTACATCAGCATAATACCTGAGGTCTAGCCTCTTGCATTCTAAAACTGTGCTGACTTGCGCGTATTCTTCAAAGCGCCGGCGCTTGATCATAGGAACGTTGGCAAGCTTGTATCTGGATAATCCCGCCCAGTGTGTTTCCGCATCCTCCAGCATGATCTGTTCCTCTTTGCTTGCTCCCCAGATCATTCCACCTGTCATAAAGGTGGCGAGCTCACGGTACCAAGGACGCTTGGCACTACCCGAAGGTGAGACGGCGTTGCTTCTAAAGTAGGGCGAATGAGGGTGCACTTACTTATGTGACCTTATGCGGGCTGCTTGATTGAGAACAGGCTCGCGGTAATCCACATTCGTGCACAGGCTCGCCTTCATCTTCTTGAAAGCCAAATTCAGGTCGGTTCGATAGTAGTCATGGATCGAGCGGGACTGGTGACGTACAGCAACATCAGTTAAAACCATAACATTGCTCAAGGCCATGGACCCTCACCTTCACAGCCTCGTAGCTTCCAGAAGCCTCCTTGTAATGCAAGATTAAGATCGAAGGTAAGTCCGGCAGTCCGATGGTGATGGCTCCAGTAGACGAGACAATCTCGACGGGTAAGAACCATCGGAAGGTACTGTCTTTGGTTGCGCTATCCACAACTTCGTCTGGCATTTCCACTGCAGTGGTGACCGTGAATGAGCAGAGCAATCTCCAAGACATGAAGTGCTTAACACATATATGTGTACCTGTTACTACTTCCGGGGTGTCCGATGGTATTCCCGCTTCTGTACCATCTTTGCCCATTCGCTCCAACACCGTTTGTAGGTAATCATAGGCCGGCGTTCTATTGTAGATGAACCACTCGAGCCCGTCAAGCCGAACCATGAACCTGCATGGTAGATCTAAATGAAAGGCGTCGCCATGATTCAACATGCTGATCGTCCTTTCCGCCCGATCGGAATTGACGGGTAGTCACCTTGCGGCAGGAGATCCGATGATTCGGCCTCTTTCCGCACACGAGAAGCCCAGAAGCGAAATGTGACGTGCCCGCGGAGAACATGTATGGATTGGTTTCGGGAGTGGTATCGCAAGTTGCGAAAAAGTATCCTCCCGCTGAGCGGCGCAAAATGTAGCGACTCTGCGACGAAGGTACAACCACAATTCAATCAGCAAGCGTGCAGCCAGGGAGAGTTGACCAACTCTCTGTGAATACCAAGTTCTATGTAAGCTTTGTAGCTCCGCCAGGTGTATATACAGAGAAGGCGCCCGAGGACCTGCCCCAAAACGCGATTGAAGTAAAAGAAGTAGAAAAGGGCCACGATGGCAACAACCCATGTATAAACTGCGTGTTTGACGGTCGAAAGAATCACATAAGTACTAGCGTCTTCCCTTATGGGCGCCGCCCTTCACTTTACCTACGAAAGTCCAAAATTTGACTTGAACCCCCGCGTTGATTAGCTTTCTCTATCGTAAGAGACGATCCCGCGCGGAGAAGGAGGTTACATACTGCTGGGATCCTGCTGGTTGAAGTTCCCGAACGGAATCGGAAGCTCAGGGAAGGACGACATGGTCGCGGCAGTTAGGACATTTGACGGTTTCCGCGAAAGCGCGAGGAACCGAAAGTGACCGCCACAGGTGACCGCACAACAGCCGCACACACTCTGCGGCATTCTTGTCCGAGGGGTCAGACATCCTATCATAAAAGGCAAAAAATATTCCTGTTGCCGGGTGTGGGGTTCGAACCCACGCAGCTTTCGCTATGAGGCCTTAAATCTCACGTCTTAGACCAACTCGACCAACCCGGATTTTTTTCTCATTTCCCAATCTACAATTATCACACGTCAAAACAAAAGCCAGGTTCGAACCATCTGAAATGCCTTTTTTGTACAAAACTGGTGGAACCCAAACTGGACTTTAAGAATGTGTCCGTTCCGCAAACGGGAGATATGAATGAGATTCAAGCGGTACCATATTTACAAAACAATAGGTGCAACCATCAGCACGCGCTTTGACTACCGACGATGTCCTCCAGCGAAAGGAACTGGGGACATCTGGCCGGTATGCCGTGACCGCTTGCTCGGAGCGTGCAAGGTTGGGAGCCCACTGCCGACCATCCCTCCGGTTCCGTTAGAAAGACGGCGGGGGGACGTTTGGGCAGCCGCCTGCGAACGAGCGACGCCTCCTGATCGTATGCTGTTGGCGCCGAGCCAATGCAAGGAGTCTCGACTTCCTCGAAGAGCGAGAGGTTCCGGTTGCTGATAATATTGCTGCTGCTGTTGCTGCTGTGGGTTGTGGTTAAGCATTCGAGTGCTGTTTCGTGTATTCGCCGCCTGTGGACCGCTGCCGAAACCCGCAGCGGTGGGCGAGGAGTGTGAGTGCTGATGGGCGTCGCGCGGCCCGAGTCTATTCTGCGAGTGCAGATGGTGCGGGACGCGCGCGGGCGATCGGTGCAATCCGGCAAACAGTGGATCCACAACGGGCGCGTTATGTGATTTCGCGTGGAGGCGACCGCCTGGGACGGCGAGATTGGCAGGGTTAAAGTTGCTTCCGTATCCACCAGATGCGGAGGGCATAGGCTCCACTGACGGTGGTGGTTGTCGGTACGAATTCGCGCGCAAAGGTTTCGCAGGAGCGGGAAAAGCGTTGGAAACGGCCATCAAGGGCGGGATGGAGTTGTAGCGCGGAGCGCGAGCGGGGAGCGGTCTAGGGAGGTAGGGGTTGGTGGGCTGGATAAAACTAAGTCCTAGGGGAAGCGAGTAAGCCGAGGGGTAAAGGAACAAATTGAGAAAACGAAAAGATTCGGTGAGCAATGAGGATAAGCTCTTCCTGCATGGTGTACCCTCTCATTCACCTTTTACTTGAAGGAGTCGCTCGCGGGACCCACCCAGATCCAGGTTCTCTACCGATTGAGAGAAAAAGCTGGTGAGAAAGTTCTGTTGCTTGTTGCTTGACGGTGGCGATGCGACTGGTGATGGTGATGATGATCCCGCATGAGGTGAGACATGCTCAGAGTGTTTTGTTATGCAGGATTCCGTATCTGGTGGCTCATCGAGGTTCTTATTACCCGGAAGGTCAGCGTGGCTAGTGGAAAGTTGATTGGACGATGATTGTTGATTATTCGAGGTGTTGAAAAATGAAGCTTTCGAGTGCTGGAATGCATCCGAGCTCCGATTTGTGGCGGGATCACGATCTAGGAAGCCTGGTAGGCGAGCTCTGCGCTGATTTGATGGTGAAGCTGAAGGCTTGGCTGCTGCCTGCAAGCCTGTGCGGCGCTCCCTCACATGTGGTAGGGGAGATCGCTGTTGTGGTTGCGAGGTGCTATCCCCTTGTCCCCATCCAGATATCCCGTCGTTGTTTCCCGACAGCTCGTCAAGATAGGAGTCAAATTGCGCGCCACTTCCTTCGTTAGGCTTTTCGATGCCAGAACTTATGCCCGGAAGAGGATTGTAGACTCTGCCTAAGCCCAAAGCCCCGCTGTCCGTGGCGTCAACCGCAGACGGAGGACGCGAGGGTTCCCGCGAATGACGGGACGAGAGCACGGATCGTCGCTGAGGCACAGGAGATATCGCCGGGGATTTCCTCCGTCTACTTGCTGATGGTTGTCGGCTTTTGGGTACTGGGATGGCAAGGGGAACAGGGGTCTTTGACGCGGTACCACGGCGAGAAGATGTTTCAGCGTTTGGATTTGACCACTGAGAGGAAATCTCCAGGGAGTGGTCGGGAGAAAGACTCTTGTCCGGCACCAAGCGTCCAATATGGCTCATCATCTCCTGTGTAAAAGTGACGTCCTTTCCCGAATCGCCTTTTAGAGATATCTGAGGAGCACCAGAAAACGTTCCCGAATGTCGATCTGGCGACAATGTCTTTGAACTCCGCCGTGCGAGCGTTCCATCGGACCCTAGAGCAGATGCTGCTGCTGCGAGTGCATTCTGTCCTGCCAACGCGTTGAGCTCGTTCTCGATCAGCATCAAATCCAGAGATGAGGCTACTGAAGCTGTCCGATCCAGCCCTCTAAGGCTTCTGTGACGCTCGAGTGTGCTCTCTGCTTCCTCCGAGTCCTCAAGTTGTTGTTGGACCGTCAGGCGCACTTCCTCCTGACTGCCATCCGCTTGCACATTTTCCTGCACAAGGTCCAAGGCTGGACCGACGGGTGGGGCAGCCAACGCAGTTTTGGCAAACGACGTGTCCCACATGTCCGCGAACCAGGGATGTTGCAAAGCTTCCTGCGCTGTTGGCCTTGCGTTCGGGTCATACTTCAGCATGTCGGCGAGCAATTGTAATGGCCCATCCGTCGCGTTCGGTATCAGCTGTGCGAGAGGCACACATGGCATCTGTGGGAATCGAAACTTCATCCCTCCGGCAAGTCGTAATCCTTCTGGCCACGGTCCTCCTGCGGTGATATGATCGCGTGGTCGTTGCGCATCTGCGGACTTCGTATTACTGGCAGGATCTATCATGGGGGACGCCCCACCTCCCATCTCGGGGGTGCCGAGGATCTCCACAATCTTGAAGAGTTGATCCATCTCCGAATTTCCAGGAAATAGTGGGCGAAGAGTGAAGAGTTCCGCGAAGATACAACCGACAGCCCATATGTCGATAGGTGAAGAGTATGAGGTGGATCGTAGAATAATCTCTGGTGCTCGATACCTTGCGTACGTGGACCAACCGAGATTCAGCACATGCAAGAACGCGAGACGTCGGTAGCTGTATGGCTTACCATCGTGTGCTGACGTATTCTGTATATGGCGGTCGACTTCGGATCTCCCTCGCCAAGCCGAAATCCGCGAGCTTCACGACTTTGCCGCTCATCAAGAGATTTTCTGAGGAATAAAATCATCAGACATGTGTAGGCCGCCAGCATCTGCCCTTGCGACGCCGTACCTGGCTTCATGTCGCGGTGGAAGAACCCGTGCTTGTGCATGTGCGCGAGTCCGAGAAGCACTTGAAATCTGCAATGAGCAAATCAGATGGCTGCGCATCAAGGGTTTCGACGTCCATGTTCAGCGTCTCACATCAAGCTTTTGACCTCCATCTCGGAAAAGAGCTCGCCGTCCCGATGCTTTGTCAGCTGGTACAGATTGCCTTCCATGTATTCGAAGACAAAGTGCAGCTCGTCGTTTTCGCGCAGAACCTCCTTCAGCTTGACAATGTTTGGATGGTTGCTGAGCTTGACGAGCGACTTCACTTCGCGAAGGTTGACGGCCTCCTCCCAGTTGTAGTACTTTTGCTTCATCTTCTTGATAGCTACCTGCATTGAGAAGAGGCATCGTTTAGCATGAGCAGCCTATGCGAACGGACGCAGGATGGACAGCAACGAAGCAACTGACGCACCAGCTCGCCCGTCTCATTGTGCTGGCCCTTGAGGACCACGCCGAAGGAACCATCTCCGATCTGTTTGGTCACCAGATATTTGTTCATGCTGGTGAGGTGCTCGGCTCAGCCACAAGGAGACCGCTCGACCCGGTGAAGGGCGATGCTGACGGACGGCGGCAGCGGGAGATGTGCGCGGAAGAGGCTGAGGTATGGAGGTACGGAAGCTACGTCTGCCTGGTGAGGTCGCTGTTGACGGGATGAAGAAAAGTCGCGGACAACGTCATGAAGCGGGAAAGCGTGGCTCCTATATCCTCTGGAGGGATTGCAGATGCGATGGGGCAAGGAGCACGTGTAGCAGCTGTACTGTATAGTTATGCGGGCAGAAAGGATGGGAAAGGGGATACAGGGAAGAGGAACGCGCTTTCGCGAGGAGAGAGAGAGAGGTGAGAGAGTGAAGGTTGAGTCAGCTCAGGCTGCTGTCGAGAACAACAGCACTCCTCCGTCCCTCCGTCACCTCCCCGAGCTTTGGTTGTCTTCTTGTGCTGGCCGCTTTTTTCTCCACGCAGACCCTTGCTCTTTTCGATAGCGATTTCAACGGTGATCTGCTCGCAAAACCATGACGGAACGGTCCTACGAGGCAAGATGGAAGGCAGAACGTCTTCAACGTGTTAGGGCCGAGGTACTTGTGCATCACTACCGCAGAGCATTGTTACAATATCTTCAATTCTTTTGAGCAGATCAAGCAGGATGTCGCCGAGATTGCCCTCAGAGAGCAGGAGGTAAGTTGCATTCCCATCTAGCAACGCAGAGCATTCATGCCAACAGACCTTGATGCAACCAGGCAATCATCCCGACATTGCTGGCCAGGTACTGCGTCCAGATCCTTGCACTTCTGCGAATAGTCGTGTAACGATATCGTTGATAGAGAGGCGGACGGCCCGACGCCCCCCTCTTCGCCGGAAGGATCCGATGACACAGTCAGCAGCTCCCATGATACATGTCACTTATGCGCAAAGTCAAGTCACACTCTGGTGTGTTGCGAAGCGGACGGGTGTCGGCGCACCGTCTGCCAGGCTTGCTTTCTGCGGGAAGGGTGGGATTGGTTGGCCGCCCTCGCGGACGACTCCTGGACATGCTGCCACTGCAGAGGTAGGGTGTCCATCATCTAATATGAATCATCAAGCATTTCTTATTCAATCCTGCTCGGAAACGACTAGGTGTGTGCCCGTCTGCGTCAAGGTGCTCCAGAAGGACGCTGTCGGAAACGAGAAGCAGGAAAGCTATTGCTTGGGACACGGATGAGATCGAAAAGGTCGAGTTGGCCGCTAATCGGGATGCATGCGTAGAGTGCTCCAACGGAGGGGTAAGTGAAGTGAGCTTTGTGGGGCCAGTTTTGAAATGACGTGTCGGCTCATCCTGCGTTTCACCGTGAACACCAGGTCCTTTTGTGCTGCGACGGATGCGTCGCCGCCTTCCATTTCGAGTGCATTGA